TCAATCTTCTCGTCCCCGACGCCAACAGTGTCCCACACGTCCCTGGCCACTGCCCTCCAAGAGTCCCGCTCATTGGGATCTTTCTTCCCGTACATGGCACACAGCTCTTTCATCTTCACAATGGCCAAGGCTTCAATCTCCTGTCGACTGTGTCGGAAATCATTGAGAGCAACCTCATAGCAAATCTCTTTAACGGCCTGGATCTTAAGGTCTGAGATGGTGACCCACTTAGAATCTTTACTCAGGCGCCTTCTTTGAGGGATCTGATACATTTTAATTGGTTCTCGTTTCTTCCCACTGCTGGGGAGGCCACATTTTTTAACAATCGTTTGTAACTTGCTAGGAGGTAGCTTTTCTCTCAGAGAAGTAATCAGTTTCCAGCTCTCTTCACAGGACCTCTTGTCAGAATCGTCCCCGCTATCAGAATCCGCGTCCTTTGGAAAAACAAAATCAAAAAATGGCCCCAAAATAACCAAAATTAAAACGTAAAAAAGAAAATCAAATTGAAAAAAAAAGCAAGCAAAAAAGAAAAAAAAATGCCTTAACCAAATTTAAAAACCAAACCAAAATTAAGAAACTAAAAAACAAGCCAAATAAAAAAACAAAAACAAAAAAATCTAAATGATGTGGAAGTCTATTGAGACATATGCATATGTAGATTACTGTTAATATAAAGATCTGTTTATTTAGTAGTCCTAATCCGAATTTCCACTTTCTGGCTCAAGTGATGAATCTGTGACTGAATTTCTTAGGAGGGCTACACAGGGAGTGAATCTCCTGCGCTAAGCCCATAGCCTTGAGGCCACATGGCCACTGTTTCGAGGAGACCCAGTCAGACCCCTGCCCACACATGCTAACAATCCATGCAGCCACTGCCTCCATTTGCCTTGGTTATTGCTGTTGCTTCTTCCAGAATCTCCTTCCCCCATGAGTGAGCACAGATGCCATACAAGATGTGACGAGCAGGCGGATTAACAAAGGTTAGTAAGGCTATAGGACACCAAGTTTGTTTAGCTTTACTAAAAAGAGGAGCCCTAGAAAAAAGTTAGAGGATGAGAAAGTAGAAAAAGAAGCAAACAGCAATGATGTTAAAAGTGCTAAGAACCCCTACTAGCAGATCACGCGAGGTGCTTACTAACCAAATTCTTTTTTCTGTCAGGCAAAAAAAAGGACTTTGAAACTAATCTTTCTAGGAGAAGACACTGGATTTTCTATTTTCTTTTTTTTTTTTTGGTACCGGGGATCTAACTCAGGTCTTTGCGCTTGGGTAGCTGGCGGCAAAACCACTGAGCTAAATCCCTGGCCCTCTATTTTCTTTTCTCAAGTTAAATTAACCTACTTCAATTGTACATTAAAGTGTGCTACCCAGGGAACAAGGAAGGACAAAAACAACCCTTGTAGTGGATCTGGTTTATTTTTGTTTTTCACACACTTAACCCAATAATATCTCACCTCCAAATTTTTGAGAAATAAATTACCAGAACAAAAATTAAGCTAGGCAAACATACTTCCACTTAAACATAAATTTCCCCAGGTAATAGCATATTTTAATAAATACAATTTAAGAGATATTTTCTATCTAGAAAACCCCTAGCATTTCTAGTTATTTGAGGGATGTACTTTTAAGGGGCAACTCTTCCAATTAACACAAACAAAAGAAAAACCACAAAGATTATACTGTGTACATGTAAAATGGATCCACTTAAAAATGTATCTCTAAGAGCAAGGACCCGAGTTCGATCCCCGGTACCAAAAAAAAAAGAAACAAAAAACAACAACAACAAAAAAATGTATCTCTAGGGCCGGGGATTTAACTCATTGGTTCCAGCGCCTGCCTTGCAAGCTCAAGGTCCCGAGTTCGATCCCCAGTATCAACAAAATAAATAAATAAATAAAAATGTATCTCTAATTCTGTCTTTCCAGAAGTTTGTGTATTATTATACCTCTTTTCAAAAAAAAAAAAAACTTTACTTGGGCCTAAAATAGCAGTCTAACTTCACAACAACAGTTTTAAGGGCTATTTAGTTAATAACCAACTGTTCTTAACACAGGCAAATCTTCATAATGTGGATCTATATGAAAGCAATGTTGGATTTAGAATTATATATAACAGGATTAGGAAGAATTTCTATTCAGGAAATAAAAGTTTTTGGGAAAAGGAAATGCTAGATGAGTAGTTTAAGATAACCTAATAAATGGAAATATTATTAATAATCTCTCTTTTCTTGGTTGTGGTAACCAAAAATAGCTCTAGCAAAGGGTTAAAAAAAAGGGCCAGGGATTTAGCTCAGTGGTTCCAT